GAACCACACCCACCCACACGTTGCTCTCTTCTCGGTGTCCAGCTTCGTTATGTCACTACGGATGAGTCAGAGACGCATCTGATTGGCTGATGCCCCCCCCCCCCCGGAGACGTTTCCCATTGTGGTTTTCATCATGATGTTTGACTTGCTGACAAAACGGCGTTAATGCTGTTGATTCTTTGCGGGGATGGTTTTTGCCATCGCCTGAATATGAATTCCCCCCATGAAGAGGCTTTCTGTGCAGCGTTTGAATGGGGAGGCTGAAATTTCAGCTCCTTAGTTACAGATTTTTTTTTTCTTCTAGCTGACCAACTGTTGGCAACAAGCGTGCCGCGCCAATTAAGAGAGAATCTGAATCTGTGCAAACCAGCAACGAACACATAAACATACACACTGAACGCGATGAAAGAGGCTCTGTCATGCCGGGAGACAGCGAGTCTCTTGAAAAGTGAGCAAGTAAAGAAAGTGAGTTTTTTCTTTCTTTCTTTACTTCAGGCTTTTCTTTCCTCCCTGGTCCTCCTCGAGGTATTTCACCGCATTCTGCTCCTTTCACAGCGACCGCTATTGTGTCCATCACACTGACCCGAGAGAGGAAAATTCAGCTGGAGCTGGTGTCCATGCTTTGCTCCTCTCCTCCTCTTCTTTCTGTTTCCTTCTTTTTGGTCGGCATAGCAACAGGCGTCAGGCTCGTCAGAGATGGCACTGTGGTCGTTTTTTTTTTTTTTTCCTCTCCCTTCCCCTTCCGTTCTTCTGCGCTCCGAACCGATAGCTGGTGCTGTCAGCCAGCGTTTCAACAGGTGGAGAATGTTTTATTTATCTCTGATTTTAAACGGTTTTCAAGGATTTTAGTGTCACTCTCACTATTTAGTCTGAAATATACAGTTTTTATGTGTCCGTGAGTAGCTGGTGAAGAGAGCGCACCACCTCCCCTCTGAAGGGCATCGCACGCTTTTACTCTTTTCGAGCACTGAGGCATCAGCTTTAAAGGCGAAATGTGAGAAAGGTTTCCCTGAACCATATCAAACGGTTCAGTTTGAAAGAGTTTGCTCCAGTAGGTTTCCAGGTCACATTGATATGCTGAATCGAAATGCAGGTCCACACTCAACGTAAACAAAACACTGAATCCACCCAAAAACCAGGATGAAGACTCCCACATACTCAGCCGTACTTCACCCCGTAGAGGTCCGCGTGTACCCGATTAGACTCGACGTGGACCCGAAGCGGACGCCTGCAAGCCATGTCCGCGCAAAGATCAATTTTTACGACTGCGTACTCGGTGTCGCACAATAAACTGCCCGGCGACGGACTGTTTTGTATGTGACACCAGTGTATTAAATTCTCCTTCTTGATCCCTGATCTGGCCCTTTCTTTTGTTTTTTGTTTTTCCAAGAGACAAGCGATCTCTTCCTCGTTCGTTGACGCCATGAATGAAATGGTGAGAAATGAAGGAATTTGTCACGAGAGAATTAAAATCAGGTCCAGCTTGGCTGCGGGAGGGTCTGGAGATTTCCTGGTGGGCTGGTCTGATGTGTGGGCTGCAGGGCCAGCGCTCCCTGTTTTTTTAAATTTTTTTAGACTTTTTTATTAACAACATATAAACACAGAACACCGCTGCTCCTGGGCTGCCAGCTCTCGTTTGTTTTTGTTTTTTTGCGACCTGTCAATCATTCCAGTAGGCGTGTCAGCAAATGACCAATCCGCGACCTCAATTTGTCCCGAATGTAAACGCCCCTTGCCTGCGGAGCTGGCTGCAGCCCATCAGGGTGTACGCCTGAGTATGTGGGAGCCTTGAGGTAACAAATATGGCCAGTTAGTTATAAATAGTACCTTATCAGTGTCATCGCACAAGGAGTACGTAGAAAGAGGCAAAAGTCTTTGTCCAGGCTAGGCTAATCGCTAACCAAACAAGGTTTTTAAAAACATTTTTAGGTCTCTGAAACTTTCTTTTTTTTTTCCCCAAAAAAATGTCATGCCTGTTTGAAATAACTCTACATTAGCTAACATTACACCTCTACATCTGACATTGTTGTTTTAGTTTGTCGCTGTTTTCTCAACCAATCAGCATTCGTGTTTGTTAGGCTAGCGATTAGCCTCGCCTGGATGAAGACGTGCCTCTCCATTCTCTGTGGCTGATGTTGTGGCTAAACGGGTACTATTAATAACTATCTGACAAAACATCACTTTAAAGATGACTTTAAAGCCACATTAACTATTTATTTACAATTATTATTTTTTTACTGTTTTGATGTTGCAAAGCGTACTTTTAGGGTGCATTCACACCAGCCCTGTTTGATCCGCTTTGATCGAACTCTAATCCGTTCGCCTAGAAAGTCCGGTTCGTTTGGGGAGGTGTGAATTCGCAAACTCTGATGTGGACCAAAAAAGTGAACTCTGGTCCGACTAAATACCTAGGTCTCAGTCCGTTTGAAGTGAACTCTAGCGCGGTGCAGTGTGAATGCAAGTGGACCGGAGACCGCTCCAAAAGCAGGAAGTGGACTACAGCGCAGGGCAAACAAACGTGCATTTCTCTTACCTCATACAGAGCCGTGTGTGAAAAACATTGTCCATGGTCTTCGCCTCATCTTCCGCTCACACTGAGTCCATTGTTGAAAACTGACAAACCGGAAATCCTAAAACCGCTAAAATTTGGCGCCACTCTGTTTTTATTTCCAGAAGAAGAAGAAGAAGTGTCTTCTTCAGAGATTTTTGTGTCGTTTCCTTCAGTAGTTCTTGGTGCAGCGCCACCACAGGCGAGGGGGGGTGACAGGTTGGCTCGACTGACTCAGTGCAGTGTGAACGTGAACCGCACCAGATGAAGATGTAACAGGTGTTCTGAATATTGGTCCCCAATCGAACCGAGTCCACGGGACTATCAGGTGTGCCAACACCCTTAAAACACGAGAGCTCCCCGCCTGCCTGCCCGCCTGCCCGCCCGCCTCTGGGTCCAGCTTCACTGTTACGACTCAGAAGGTGACTAGTGACTTTGTAAAAAAAAAAAAAAAAAGTTTAAAAAAAGAGAAAAGGAATTAAAAAAAAGTTGTTGTGTCAGCATGAGTGGCCTCCCTCTTGTGCTGTGTGTGGTGTGCCATTGTGTGTGAAGATGTATGTGTCCTCAGGTCGTTTGTCAGGTTTTAACCCCCCCACCTTACCTACCCCACACATCTCCACCTTACACTACTCTGCTACAGGCCCATGTAGCTCTGACCCATCCGTCCCTCCGTCCTGTCTGATAAGAGGCCTGTGTTACGAGGACAGTTGGTATTTAGTATTTTGCACTCTGCTCGCTAATTTCAATGCACTTGCAAGCCTGGCAGTCGCACTCCAGCCCCCCCACCCCCACCCCCCACTGTCTTTGATTGAGCAGCAGCACGCCCCTCCTCATCCTCATACCTGCCGAAGCAGCACAGGTGGCACAAACACACGCTCCCCCTTCATCTTCAGCTTCTGCTGGAGCCAACTTTTCCCAGGCGGCAGCTGAAAATCAAAGCCTTTATCCATCCTCGAGAGTGTGCGGAGTGAAACGTGGAGCGAGGGTGAGCTGGACTGGAGTGCGACGGCCACCCTGGTGTGGGGAGTGACTGTGTCCGTCAGCCTCTGGTTAGTGTTCTGTTCTAATCTGCTGGGCTCCCTTTGTGAACCTGTGGACGGTGCTTCTGTTCCGAGTGCCATGTGAGAAACAAATGCTTAAAAGAAAAAAGATAAGTTTTACTTACTATGTTTTGATTTAACTTTTATATTTTCGTTTTGTTTTTGTTTATTCGTTCTCCAAGGGTTTAAAGTTCAAAGCTCATACAGTACTCTTATGTGGGGACCTGCTAACCTGCACTCCTTTTAAATGTGATGAAGTTTTTTTCTGTTGGTCCAAACCATGTGTGCCAAAATTGTATGTATATTCCTCTGTCAATGCTTTGAATATTAACAATGCATAAAAATATATATGAAAAAAAAAAAGAAATCTGCCTTCGGATGCATTTCCATCAACCTTGAAGATGAAAACAAGTTGCCAGTTTTGTATCCCAAACGCTCAAGTATTTATTTCCGGCAGTTTACAGAAGGTTTTGTGGCTTTTGATTGTTTGCAGCGTTACTCGACTTGAACTGTGCCCCATCTTTATCACTTTTACTATTTCACTCACTGAAATCTGAGCGACCTCTTCTACAAGTTTACATCTAAAATATAGATTTAAAAGGTGCATTTAGGACTCGAAACCAAAAGACGTGCAGATTGACGAAAGTTCGGTGTTTTGTGTATGTTTGCAAACGCTCCGTAGAGCGAGTGAGCGTGCAGATGTTCTCCCACAGCTGTGCAGATGCCAGTCCTGTAACGCCGCTCAGCAAAACCTCATCCCATTGGCCGATCGCAGCTCAGCCCTGCTTTGCCCCAGACACAACATTTCCGCTTTACAGCTGCTCTCAGTTCACTTGAGGTTTGTTCCTGCTTTCCTCTGCTGCATCTGCAATTCTTTCTGGCCCGTGCAAAAGTCTTGCAGCGAGCCAGGACTCCTCTCTCTCTCCACACAGAAAATAAAACATGGCTTTGTGACATCTGGAATTTGAAGGCACATGCAAACATCTGCATGTGGGAAACAGATTAGTGCTTTTTATTTTTTTTTCTCCCATGGTTCTTCTTGATCTAATGCCTGTGAGATGATGTTAATCAGTGAGGCGGGTGCTTCGTGTCTCGGGTTGATCCTTTGGTTAAACTGAGGCCCACCCCTTCCTACTTTGGTCTGCTGTCTGAAAGCTTTTCCACTATGGTGAAGCTGGATTGTATATCATCTTGAAGTGGTTTCCCAGTCATTCCAGACCCTTATGCAAGAGCAACTCAGAGATGCAAGGAGTAAAAAAGAAAAGTTGCAAAGTTAAAATAGGCAAATAATGGTATTTTTTTTGCATTTACTCGTTTAGATTTGTCACTACTAATTACCACCCATATCTTAGAGTTTGTAAAAACGCACTGGGCTTAGTATTTCTGCAGCTTCTTTCTGTCTTGGCTGCCTCTCCACCTCGCTGTCAGGCTCAGAGGTAAATGTTTGTCTCGGATCGTTCCGTTCCACTGACTCTCGTGGATTTTAATTCACAAAATGCACGTTTGATGCACAACCCCGGTTCTACAAACGTTGGGATTTGTGTAATGCGATGAGTTGCCAGTCACATAAACCCATATTTTATTCACAGTGGAACACAGTAAACAGGAAATCCAGCAAAGACCCAGGACTGTTGAACAGTCCTACGCCATGGCAACGCTCCCTCCAAAAACTGATCTCAGATCTTAAAACATTTACAGACTTGTTCAAATAAGTTACTGTTGGATAAATAAATGTCCTTTCATCATCTCCTTGCTCAAATGAGCCACTCTGCGGACACGAGATGGTTTTTAACTGGTCTTTTATTTGCAGGGGCAGAGTTCACAACTGGTCAAGTTACAACCTTGTCAGTGAATCTGCACCGGACAGTGAGGCAGGAAGTGTTTTATATACACGCCATCAGACAGAGGTGAGGTCAAGACGACCTCCTCTCTGAGCAGACAAGACTGACCTCACTCACTTGGTTCAGCAGTAATTTAATGTTAGTTAGTGATAAACGTCCATACGGTTTCTTTTCTTATATTACGTAAGCATTTGCTGTTTTCACTGTGTTCCAGTGTGAGAAAATACGGGGTTTGAAAATCTCTGCAATCTGTTTTTTATCCGTATTTTACACCATGTTGCAACATTTTCAGACTCTGAGGGTCCATCAGAGGTTTATGTTCCAGCTCAGAGCCACTCGTCCACCCTGAGAACCCAAACATCTGCCTGCAGCTGTTTATTTTCCGAGCAGCCACTTTAAATGTGTGGCAGCGAAGAAGCGCCGAGGAGACGCTAATAAAAACAATCGGCTTGGTCTTGCTGTGTACAGAACGAAACATGCATGAGTGTGGCTTGCTTGTGATCGGTGGGGGTAGTGAGGTGGAAGGACCCCTGCCTCCAGCTGCAGCACGGGCACAGCCGAGGCCTCCATCTTAACCTGCAGCATCTCTTGGAATGATCAGAAACCAGCTTCTCTCCTCCACGAGAGTTCTCCTTTCCATCAGACACTCATCAGGTGATTCCTTCTGACAGTTTAGAGCTCCTGGCTGCAAACACACCTCTCACCTCTACTTTGTGTTTTAAACCCTTTGAACTGATGCTGCTTCTGTGTTTGACTTTGGGTTTAGTGCGTGGAGCCATGTTGTCCACATGGCCTTTAGAGCTTGTAACGCTTCAGTGTGTGATGTTACCATATGCCTTACATGTTTTCCAGGACTAATAAAAAAAGCATAACAAAAGTCAGGAAATGTGCTCTTTTATTTTGGTGCCGGACTTTAATAACTTTATTGCCCAATATGATTCGAACTGCTCCTTTACTGGATGATGATTAAAACCTTGCAAAGTGGTAAAAAGTGTGTGTCTTTACAGTCCAGTGCAACTTTAGTAATAAAACACCTGTTTGCAATAGAAACATGTTGGAGATGCTGTCTAAAATAAAGCAAACAATGGAGGATCAATAAAACACATTACAAGACTGAATTATTATAATTATTAATAATAAAACAAGAAATGAAAATATACAAGATCTGCATTAACGTGCATCCACTCCCTGAGGGTTCAGTTACTGTGTGGATAAATAATCGGATTTTGAATTTTACAGTGGAACAAAATAACCTGAATATAATGAAATGACGAACAAACTGGTGACGTGCAGGGTGTACCCCACCGTTCACCGCTGGAAATATTGGTACCAACTCCCTGTAATTCTGCAAGAAAAAGCAGGTCAAGAAAATTTAAGGATGGATAATCAAATGACAATCAATATGTCATTCAATAACCAGATAAAATATATAAAATCCCAGAAGAATTCCTTCTCTGCTGATGGCTAATCAATCCCATGTGAGTTCAAGACGTCAGACAACCGTGTCAAGTAGTTGGAGTCTGGGTACCCTTTCCTGCGAGGGACATCAAAGAAGATAATTCAGCTCAGATTACGACCTTTGGTTCTGCGGGTCGTTAAAACTCGGTTCACTCACTGTGCTTTGCCGCCCTGCAAGCTAGTTTTGTGTGGGATGCAGTCCCAGGTGACCTGGGCCTCCGAACCTTTTCCTCTCACTGTGAAGGTGAGTCCCCCCCTGAAGGCTCTCTCCAGCCTGGGCAGCAGCTTCTTTGCTTTCTCAGTGTCGGGGAGGAAAGCCTCGAATGTCCCTCCTCTAAATGGTTTTCCAGGAGATGGATGACCCTCCTAGTGAGACATAAAACACAGACTCACAAGGCGTCATGTAGATGTGTCATACCCTGCAGTTAGGAAATGAATGTGTAAGCATAAACATTACAAACTATTAGTTTAATTTTGAGTCTAATATATACCGCTATTATTAAATCAAGCTATAAATACTGTTTGCTATAACTCAGATAAAACTACATGTAGATAAGATTCGTCCTATACGGTAAATTAGCCAGGCACAGATTTGTCAAATGAAGGGTAAAATGATAAAAAATAACCGTAGAGGTCATTATTCTATTTAAAGGTGAAAGTACCACAGACACAGCCAGATAAAAATAAAAGTCCTACATCAGATATGATGTGAGCTACTCACCCCTTGGATACCATCAGGAATGCGGTAAGTGATCTTGATAACGCCGTCCTTGTTGTGACCCAGTAAACTCAAGTGAAGTGTGGATTTCTTCATTTCGCCCAGGATTCCCCGAGGTGTTTGCTCCGTCTCAGTACAAACTCTGCAGAGGACATGCCTTGTTTCCAAGCACTTAGGGCACATGGTAACCCCACAGTTTGTTCTCACCAGTGACACCCCATTCTCCCCACAAACACAGTTGTAAGCCTGGCCTCCCTGATCGGACCTGGGTTCGTCTGGAGCGCTCGGGATCTCCGTTTGTCTCGGCCCTGTCTGGGTAGCATGTAAGGTTCTCTCTCTGTCAGCGTACCGGTCACCATTTTCCGAACTCTTATCACTACCAGCTAACAAGTGATTGACAAATCTATCCGCCTTGTGTCCATCTTCCTCCACAGTACCTGTAGTTTTCACTTTCGCCTGATCAAAGAGGTCTTTTCTCGTGGATGATTGGCTATAAGATCCATTAACACCCCCCTTCTCACCAAAGTCTCTTCCATAGGTTGTTTTCCATTGCTGATGGGCTGTTTTGCCTGTTTGAGTCCCCAGGACTGACTGGGAGTTGTTCAGATGGAGACTTTGGGAAACACTGAACTGTGAAGACGTGGCTGATTTAGATGTAGATGGACTCGATAGGCCGTGTTGTTCCAGTTCTCCAGAAAATACCTCCCGCAGTGTAGCGGCAACTTGAGAGCACAACCCTACTGGTCCAACAACATACAGGCTCTTCTTTATTATGTGGATAGTGACCTTCTTGAAGCCGCTTCGCACCTCAGAGCAACAAGCCTGCAAAGTTTCGTTCTCGGAGTCAGCAACGCCCAGTTCTGACAAACGCAGCTCCTGCACCGTGAAGTCAGCGCTAACAGAGGCAACAAGATTCTGTAAACGCTCCTGACACAGTTTCACTTTGGATGAGTCGGCTCCTTTTAGAATAACAGTCAGATCCCGATCACCCTCCAAGAAGCTCTCTTCCATCTGGACCTCAGTGGTCAGGTCTTTCACCCGGGGGCTGTAGGCTTCCTTTATGTACTGCCATACAACCTTGGGAACTGGGATCTCTGCCTTGTGGACTTCCTGTTTGTCTTTTGCAGCTTGGCTACTGAAGCTTGAGGACCTCCTCCTGGTTCTGACTGTGGACTTGTTGGAATCGTCTCGACTCTTCAGGTCCACAACTTGAGCTTTCTGCTGAGGCGTTCCCGAGAAACTACTGGCCCGTTTCAAAGTGGATCCAGATCCAAAAGGGGGAAGTGCAGTGCTTTCTGTAAAACTGGAAGGAGTAGTGCCAAAAGGGGACGTTAAATTCTTGAGATGAGTATCAGTCATATCGGTGTTCAGAGAGGTTTGACTCTGCGTGGACGCAGATGATGATGCATGCGTGGCGTTGAACAGGATGTCCCCTCCTGTGTTTTGGGCTCTGGAAACTGCTTTCCCAGAAATCCCTGCTGTTTCTGACAACACACCGTGGCCCAGTACTGGCCCGTGGCGAGTTAGCCTACTGGGCGCTGAGTTTGTTCTAAAGTTGAAGTCAGCTGGCCGACTGCCTAATCCACTCAGCCCTGAATCTTTAAACCGAGCAGCTAGTTTGTACTTGGTGGCTCCTTCAGTTCTTAACTCATCTTCTTCTGACCTCAGCATTGGATCTACCCCTTCGTCCAAAGAGCCCACAGTGAAAGGCGGCGTCAGGACCCTTTCCTCATCGGCATGACTTGATGACGAGCCAAAATTATATGAAGGGAGACCGGCAACATGCTCCTTTTGATCTCCCACCTCTTCATGGTCAAGAAGCAGAGCACCTTTAGCTTCAGACACGTCTCTGCTGTTACCAATAATGTATACATTTTGCTCATCTTCATTTAGAAGGACCTTGGGAAATCTGGTACTTAAATTATCCATTGCTCTTTGTAGTCCTCCTCTGGGGTGCAGGATAAACTTAGGGAGCTGGTCTCGACGGATCTTTGTCTCATTCTCCTGGTACAGACAACTTATTGCCCTTCTAGCCAGCTTTAGGCGCTCCTGCCTGTCCTCCATCATTTCTGCATCTGCAACTTTCAGAAACAAAGTGGTCAAGCCCTGATTTGTTTCGGTGACCACCTCGATGCCGTACTGGCTGAGGATACGCTGGTACTCCTTCTTGCAGTGTTTCTGCAAATACTGGAACATGTCTGCGTCCACGATCAGGGAGAAGTCCTCCATGAACGTAGCAGGAGACTGCAACGCTGTATTGACTGTGTTGGCTTCCCAGCCGTTTCCTCCTGGTGCCAGATTTCTTTTTGAACTTGAGCTCTGCTCATCCGATGACTTAGTATTGTCTGTTTTTTTAGGTTTTCTGCTCTGTTCCTCTGAAACTCGGCACTTTTGTGACGTTTGAAAGGCAACTTGACTCGAGATGTCGTTTCCTGCTAGCTCTGGAGCCCCAGGATGTCCGAGCAGTTGCGTCAAAGCGGCCTGCACGTGCGAGTAGGAGCCCCACAATGTACAACATGTCTCAGAAGTCGTGCTTATCTGGACCTCTAGATGGCTTTTCCTGAGGCCGATCACAGCCTCGACTCCCCCAGGGAGCTGACTGTAGTCAACCGTCGCCGATAAATGTAAAATTACCTAAAATAATGGAAAACAATGTGATAAGTAACTGTGATTCATACTAAAATTGATTACCGTATTTTCCGCTGTACACGTCACACCGCCCTATAAGTTGCATCAGTCCAAATTAGAATTCAAATTATTAGCTGTCATTTCTAACCCGAACCCGAAACCCGGCCCAGACCGACCCGGATTAGGGCTGAGCCGTTATAATGTGATTAATGGGCAGGCTGGGCCAGTCTCGGGCTTTTAATTAGGTCAGGATTAGCCGCGATCCGATTATATGATAACATGGCCTGCCATACATCCATCAGCCGCATGCGGCCATTTCACCGCGAGCTGACCGGCCTTGAAAGAAGTAAAAAGTTCAGATAAGCTTCAGAGGGGACTGTACTGCCAGGCAGCGATCCATCGCCCAAATGGACGTTCACTTTGCCGATGCACTCAACAGACACGCGCGGCCGATGACCCAAACAGGTGAGATCCAAAAGCAGACGTACGCGTCAGAGCTGTCTGTGTGTCTCAGTAATTCAGAAGAATGCCGTCAGAAACGGGGTTTAGATGCTTTTTTTATGGCCATGAAATGATAAACACTTCTCAGCTCCGAATCTTCTGCCACTTTTATTCAGCTGCACGTCCCTGACCGTTAATAACTAATTAAAAATGTTGGGGGGTTTTCAGGTTCGGACCTGTAATTACTGTAAATTCGTACGGTCGGGTGGAGTTCGAAAATTAGGACTGTGGGCTGGGTCGGATCAGATTTTTTGGGCCCGAATGCAACTCTAGTCCAAATATGTATAATAAAGTGGGAAAAATCCATAAATACATCACTTGGCCATATAAGTCGCATCTATTATGCGTCACCGCTGACAACCCGGAAATGTGGCCTGTGTTGTGCCAATAATCGATTGGCTGCCAAATTGCGGATGTGGGAGCGTGCACGGGAGGACTTTAACAAGATTTTAACAAGATTAACACTTAAAAACAATTATTTGTTTGCTCAAAATAATAGCAAAGGTGTGTCTCAGTCTAACTTTTCCTTAATAAATGCACTTTGACGGTGAAATCAGCTGCATTTCAAGTCGATACACGGAAGTATGAACACGCAGAGGGACGAATCACTGCGCATTTCTTCGAAATTTAACAAGATAAACACCCAAAAACAATTGATTGATTGACTTTATAGTAAAGGTGTGTCTCAGTTTAACTTTTACTTAATAAATGCACTTTAATGGTTAAATCAGCTGTATTTCTCCGGGGCGGCGCAGCGAAATGAAGCTGATTTGACAGTTGCTCCAGGCGAGCTGGATGAAGGTGGAAGGCTGTGGTAAGCCGATTGTGTCAGTAATAGCCACTTTTATCTATTACATGATACAATGGCATGCCATACAACGGGTGCCATCTAGTGGTTGAAAATGGTAGTGTTCAATATTTTCAGTGCGAATGAATGAAAATGGTCATTCTCAGCCAAAAATTGGTTTACAAATATGGAGGAAAAAACATAAATAAGTCGCTTCGGCATATAAGTCGCAGGGCATGCAAATGATGCAAAGAAATACAACTTATAGGGCGAAAAATACGGTATTCATTGGAAAAATTGTGCAGAACTCTGGGTAAACACACTTGGTCAGGGTCCAAACTTTCTTGATGTTTCGTTGCGGTGAGTTTGTACTCCTTCCCGTCTACTTCCAGGATGTGTCGGCTGCGTTGAATCACCCTTTGTGCCACTGTGTGAGAGGAGTCATCAGAAAGAAATCAATCAGTCTGAAAAGCATCCTGACCAAGCGTTTTCTGCCTCTGGCTGCTCCGTTGACTTGCAGGCGAGCCTTCCAGCTCAGAGTAAATCACAGCTGACAGCAGACCCACCGCAGTCCCTCACTAATTCTATGTAAATGGATGCGCTTTGAATTTTGGAAGCTATGAGGCTTTTCTGTTGTGTTGAGACCTGAGCAGACAGAATTTTCATAAAGTTAGAAGTTCGTTCTACCAGCGTGACCCCCACTGACCTGAGCTGTCCTCAAAGGCGATGAGCGCAGACTGAGACGCTGCCGTGGCGATGTCCACAGACTCGATTTCCCCTCCTCCATTTCTGGCTCGTAGGAAGTGAATTAATAACTTGTCTTTCAGCTTGTTCTTCTCCACGTCTTGGGGCAGACCGCTCACCCTCACAGTCCTGCCGGGCTCTGCCATCTGCTGGAGAAATACAACGAGCGCTGATTGCAGGGCTGTCAAACTCACTTACAAAAGGGGGCCAAAATTAAAAACTTTTTCAAACTAAGGGCCAATTTCAGAATCTACATGAACTCAAATCAGAGACCCAACATCTTTTCTTGGTCACAGGTTCCTCAACAAGCGTTTGACTGGTCTCATTTGATGTTCTCTGTTGTGCTTTCGACATCATAATCAAAGATTACTGAAAAAATTTAAGTGATTGAAGAATTTTACGTTTCACATATCATCTTGGGGGCCAGATAAGATGTCAACGAGGGCCACATTTGGCCCCCGGGACTTGAGTTTGACACATATAAGGGGCCTCATTAGTCAACAGTGAGTACAACAAAGGTCCACGCACGTCGGGATGTATCAAAAGGAAAGTTACATGAAAATGTGCATAAAAATACACACATTATTGAC